GCCCCCCATGAAGACGGAAGACCAGAGGGATCCAGCCAATGAAAAGTGGGAGGAAGCCGGGCCATCTTGAGTGCTGCACGGCGGTGTAGATGCGTCCCACGCCACAGAGAGTGGCGGAAGTAGCTCCGATGGGGGCGGGGCCATCTGGTACGAACATTGAAAAGTCTAATTCAGGTGCAGCCATCTTGAGCGTGGCGGAAGTACTAGATTTCTGCGCTTTAGCAAAGAAAGAGGAGTATTGTGATTCTAAAGAGTATTGGAGAAGAAGTTGTGTTTTAGAAGGTAACCGGGCGCTCCTTAAGAAGAAAACAACTGCAATCTAAAAATCTTTTGACGTCTTTTGTTTTGAAGCGCAGCCCTGGTACCAGGGTCCCTCTCCTTGTCTCAAAGTGGTAGCTTAGGTCAATTTGAATTCTCTAAAATAGTACCTTTTACCTGAGGCACGGTGCTGTGTCGCCCCAAGTTCCAGGAACATAATTCTATTGACTGTACCTCAGAAACAGCCCTGAAATTCACTCCCATTGTTTCCCTCCATATTCTCTTCTTCTTGCTAAATAAAAATGGTCTCCCTGCTGGCCCTAGTTGCCAATTCTTCCCTCTCAATTCCTGCTGCACTCCACAGCAAGGGTGCTCTACGACATAAAACCAAACATCATTGTCTTAAGGCTTTCCCTCTTAAAATACTTAAACTACCTACGGAATATATAGTCTGAACTACTCAGTATGGTTCTCTCGTGTGTCCTGATCCCTGCTTGCTTCTTTTTATCTCGTCTTCTCCCACTACATTTTCCCACACATTCCACTTACACCAGACATTTAAGAGATCCCCAGTGTGCTGGGCTATAGTACACAATGCACATATAGTTCTCTGTTTATAAACTCCTAGTTCCCATCCCCTCCCTTGTTTCTTCTTCTGGATCCTCATAACACTAACACACACTGTATCTGATCTGTAATATCTGCCTGGCTGGCCCCTCCCACTAAATTTGCAGTTTTTTGTATAGCACACAGTCTTACTCTTTTTTTTTTTTCTTCTTTTGAGAAATCCCTACAACATCCTATACAAGGCCCAACCATGAGCCCAACAATGTTGGTAAAATAAATGAACAAATGAAGACCCATGCCAGAGAAGCCAGGTGCCTGTAGCTGCCAATTTCCTCTCAAAATCCTGCCAAAGCATTTTGCAGGTTGGCCTAGTCTAGCCCATGGCTGAGCCCAGAGGGAGTTTGTTCTTGGCTTAAATGGTGGCAAAGTGGGAAACAGTGAAGAAATTGGTTCTGCCCTCTGCTTAAGAATATCCATAGTTCTGCCTCTTCTTGATCTGTTTTCCCAAGTGTTACAAAAGGTGACAAGTATTTTTGCTGATCTCAAATGTCTTAGAAATTCATCCATACCACAATCAAGCTCCCTAGGGAAGAAATAAAGATTCAGTATTAGGCAAGGGCCAAATTATTTTCATAGCACAGGGTCTCAGTCCTGGCCTCAAGGTTTTGTTAAGTCCTCCTTTATAAAAGCCAGGTACCATCATCATTAGGAAACCCCAATAATTTCAGTTCAACAAACACGGAGATTTTATCCTAACTTCCCTTTCTTTCTTTACCTGAGAGCTCGAACTGAGCCACTGATGGGACAAACACTAAACCCTGCCCAGTCTGGATTAGCACTTCCCACACGAAGGCATTTGAGTCACCCTAACCACCTCACTTTCCACATCCCACAGATGCCAACTCAAAGAAAGCAGAGAGGTCTTACAAAATGGAGCTGAGATGCAATTTGAATGAGTGCTTTTTGAAGTGCCTCTAAACTGTAGCCACCACATACTTCAGACTTTCCCAAAAGAGCCATTGTCTATAGAGGGAGGAGGAATGCCAGGAGGTTTACGGAGCTGGGAAGGAAAGAAGAAGGTTGTCAATTCTTGAAAAAACATCAGTATGGAATTGCTTTCAAGCTCTGGCTAGCTCTGGTAATGTTTTTCCTATTTGTCTTTGGAAATGGGCAAAGCTGAGCCAGATCTCCTATCCTAAGAAAACTAGCTCAAAGACACAGAGTTTTCTGCTCAGAAATCAGTTAAAATCAAATTGCATATGTTACAGCATGGATAAACTTTGAAAATATTATGATAAATGAAAGAAACCAGACACAGAAGGCTACACACTGCGTGATTTCATTTATATGAAAAGTCCAGAATAGGCCAATCTATAGAGGCAGAAAGTAGATTAGGGGTTTTGAGAGGATGGGGGATGAAGGTAATGGAGAGAGATTGCCAAAGGGTACAGAGTTTCTTTTTTTTTTTTTTTTTTAAGATTTTTATTTATTTGACAGAGAGAGACACAGTGAGAGAGGGAACACCAGCAGGGGGGAGTGGGAGAGGGAGAAGCAGGCTTCCCACGGAGCAGGGAGCCCGATGTGGGGCTCGATCCCAGGACCCTGGGATCATGACCTGAGCCGAAAGCAGACGCCCAACGACTGAGCCACCCAGGCGCCCCGGATACAGAGTTTCTTTCGGGAGTAATAAAAATATTCTGGATGTGGGCGCCTGGGTGGCTCAGTTGGTTAAGCGACTGCCTTCAGCTCGGGTCATGATCCTGGAGTCCCAGGATCGAGTCCCGCATCGGGCTCCCTGCTCGGCGGGGAGTCTGCTTCTCCCTCTGACCCTCCCCCCTCTCATGTGCTCTCTCTCTCAAATAAATAAATAAAATCTTTAAAATATATATATATATATATTCTGGATGTGACACCTGGGTGGCTCAGTTGGTTAAGTGTCTGCCTTCAGCTCAGGTCATGATCCCAGGGGCCTGGGATAGGGCTCCCTGCTGAGGCCTGCTTCTCCCTCTCCCTGTGCCTGCCACTCCCCCTGCTTGTGCTCTGTCTCTCTCTCTGGCAAAGAATAAATAAAATCTTGGGCGCCTGGGTGGCTCAGTTGGTTAAGCGACTGCCTTCAGCTCAGGTCATGATCCCAGGGTCCTGGGATCGAGTCCCACGTCGGGCTCCCTGCTCTGCGGGGAGCCTGCTTCTCCCTCTCCCACTGCCCCTGCTTGTGTTCCCTCTCTCGCTGTGTCTCTGTCAAATAAATAAATAAAATCTTTAAAAAAAAAAAAAGAAAGAAAATCTTTTTAAAAAATAAAATAAAATAAAAATATTCTGGAACTAGTGATGACGACTACAACTTTGTGAGTATACTGAAAAACACTGAATTGTACACTTTATTTTTTTAAAAGATTTTATTTATTCATTTGACAGAGAGCACAAGACGGGGAGTGGCAGGCAGAGGGAGACAGAGAAGCAGGCTCCCTGCTTAGCAGGGAGCCTGATCCCAGGACCCTGGGATCATGACCTGAGCCGAAGGCAGATGCTTAACAAACTGAGCCATCCAGGTGCTCCTGAAATGTACACACTAAAAAGATGAACTTATATGAATTCTATTTTAATTTTGAAAAAATGGGAAAAATTAAATTCCAGCCAGTACTTTGCCCTCAAGGAAGAGGCCCTTTTCCTTTAGAGCAGTGGTCTTTGAAGTGTGCTCCCCAGACCAACAGAAACCACATCACTGGACAATTACGAGAAATGCACATTCTCAGGCTCCACCCCACACATACATAATAAGAAATCCTGGGGATGGGGCCCCACAATCTGTTTTTGTTTTTTAATTCCAGTGTAGTTAACATACAGTGTTCTTAGTTTCAGGTACACAACACAGTGATTCAATAATTCTATACATTACTCAGTGCTCATCATAAGTGTACTCTTAATCCCCTTTACCTATTTCACCCATCCTCCCACCCACCACCCCTCTGGTAACCATCAGTTTGATTTCTATAGTTAAGAATCTGGGGGTTTTTTTGGTTTGTCTCTTTTTTTGTTTTGTTGATTTTGGTTCTTCAATTCCACATGAGTGAAATCATATGGTATTTCTCTTTCTCTGACTTCATTCCCAGCAACAGTGCAAGAGAGTTCCTTTTTCTCCACATCCTCGCCAACACGTTTTTCTCCTATTTTTGATTTTAGCCATTCTAACAGGTTTGAGGTATTATCTCATTGTGGTTTTGATTTGCATTTCCTTAATGATAAAGGATGTTGGGCATCTTTTCATGTGTCTGTTGGCCATCTGTATGTCTTCTCTGGAGAAATGTCTGTTCATGTTTCTGCCCATTTTTTAAAATTTTATTTTTTGTTAATCTCCATACCCAATGTGGGGCTCGAACTCACGACCCCAAGATAAAGAGTCACATGCTCTACCAACAGAACCAGCCAGTACCCCTTTTCTGTTCATTTTTAAATTGGATTGTTTGCTTTTTTGTGTGTTAAGTTGTAATAAGTTCTTTATGTATTTTGGATACTAACCCTTTATTAGATGTCATCTGCAAATATCTTCTCTCACTAAGTAATTGTCTTTTAGTTTTGTTGTTTCTTTGGCTGTGCAGAAAAGCTTTTTATTTTGATGTAGTACCAATAGTTTATTTTTGCTTTTGTTTCCCTTGCCTCAGGAGACATAACTAGACCCACAATCTGTGTTTTAACAACCCATCCATGTGACTCTGACACATGTTCTAAAAACCACTGCTCCAGAGTAGGGGAATAGAGCAAATATTTTGTTTTGCATGCCACATACATGGAAGTCTCCGTCACACATTCTTGTTTTTGTTTTTTTTCTTCTTTTTTACCCTTTAAGAATATAAAACATTCTTAGTTCCCAGGCACACAAAAATGGGTAGCAGGTGGATTGGGACCCTTGAGCCATGGTTTGTCAACTCCTGCTCTAAAACAACACAGTTCCCATTCTGGAGTGTCCAGTAAAGACAGGTGGATTTTTCCTCTGTAGTAAGGGAAATCAACAATGGCCTCCAGGCAACAAACAGGTTCCCGTTATCGTTGTGGTAACCTCTTCCATACCAAGGCCAAAGTAAGACCAGATCCTGCTTTTCATCCAGGCTTTATTAACTCAGTCTGCAGATAGTTCATTGTGCTCTTTCAAGAAATTTATTTGATTCACAGTGGTATCCTTTGAATAGTCAGTAAATTCTACTAGACAGAACTCAATACAAACATTGATCCCAGGTAAGCCACAATGGTCTCCTTCCATGCCCACCCGACCCAAGCCTGAAAAATCACCTAGAGCAGCCAAGATGGGAAGGGCAAATGGCTGTACTTTGCTGTGTGTCCTTTAAGGCTCTTTGGTCCTGATTGATTAATTCTCAGAGGTATCCAAATAAAACTCCCCTTTCCTATTCAGTACGCACCAGTCTTTGGTGTTTAACCCAATGGGCTGAGGAAGGGAGGCAGCTAGGAAAATATACCCATTAAAATGTGTTGTTAATACATACATATATAATTTTTACTCACAGTTAGTGGATTTATCTTTTATTTTTATTTATTTATTTTTTAAAAGATTTTATGTATTTATTCGACAGAGAGAGAGACAGCGAGAGCAGGAACACAAGCAGGGGAGTGGGAGAGGGAGAAGCAGGCCTCCCGCCGAGCAGGGAGCCCGATGCGGGACTCGACCCCAGGACCCCGGGATCATGACCTGAGCCAAAGGCAGACACTTAACAACTGAGCCACCCAGGTGCCCTAGTGGATTTATCTTTTAAACACAGAGATGTAAAATCAGACATGATTTTAGCACAGGAGAACAAAGTCTGTGTCACAGGACTTAGAGCACCATGAAACCTTGTTGCCTCATGCAGTGGCCTTTTTTTTAGCACTAAGAACTCCTGGGTGCTTGATCAACCCAAGTTTAGCAGCACTCCCAAAGACGCTTTCTGATAAGGGGGCACTGGGGAGGAGTATGGGGAAGAATGGAGAAGAGCCCCAAGGTGACAACAGACTTCTTCCCTCTCCCTTCCTGAGTTAGCTAGAATTGTAGGGGCAAAACGTTCTGTAGCGTGAGACAAGATGAGGAGGAAGGGAAGAAAAAACAGGGCTGGGAGCTTTCCTTTGTCCCAGGGGCTCTTCCCCAGGCCTGGCCAGAATTAGAATCCCAAAGATTTCCTAATTTTTCCAAATGTTTTGCTTGATTATCTCCCCCAGGTTCCAGGAACTTCTCCCTCAGGAAGTCTCAGCTCCTGATCTCCAGGGGATGGTGGTGGGGCGGGGAGCAGATAAAAGACTTGGTCTTTGCTCCCCTTGCTCACTTTTATCCCCTGGAGTCCAATAAGCCATGCCTGGGTGAAAACATGAGGCTCCCCACCCCCCAAATCCACCCTGACCTTTAGGCCCTGTTGGCAGAGAAATGAGGGCACAGGTGTACAAGGCAGCTAAGGAAGGGCTGGTGAATATGGGTACAGACCAGTCCTTGCTGGGATGGGGCATTTAGAGGCCCTTATTGAAGTAGACATAAGGCACAAGTTCTCCATACTTGGCCTTGATGGTGTCTTGGAGTTCTGGTTCCAGATAAGAAACTGACAGTTCACTGAGAAGAGAAAATAAGGGGATTATGAGCCTGTCAAATGGACAAGCAGCAAAGTACCATCAGAGAAAATCCAACTCAAATGCCACCTCCAAGAAGCCCTTCCTGATTTTTCCATCAGAACGAATGGCCTCTGTACAACATAATGTGTTGTTGTTTTTACTTCTACTCAGGTCTAACTTCATTCTCCCTGGTGCTAAACTTCCATCTTCTCTGTAAGATTATAAGCACAGTGCCTGGAACACAGGAGATGTCTGCAGATGACACTGAAATACAAGTACGAAGGCAGCGGAACCTGGCATCTTCTTGGTGGTGTACATCCAAGCTGCACCTAGTCTCCTGGAGCTCATCCTCTCCCCTCCCCCAGTCTGATGCTGTTTCCCTTTTCCATCATCGCTTCGCATACCCCTTCTCTGCCAGGGCATACAAGGGAAGTAGAGAGGTCCAAGTCATCCATCCCCAAGCAAACACAAGCCAGAATAAGTACCTATCCCTCTGTTCAATTTCAAGGACCAGATCCAGTGAGGGAGGATGTACCTAATAACCTAAGCAGCAGGGACAGAAAGTCTCTTGTTGCTCCCCCACTTCTCTCCAGGGCAGCCCTTACTCCACTGGGAGGGAGCAACTCATCCCTCCGCCCCTCAGAGATCTGTTTTGATTTACCATTCACCCAGGGTTAAGAGGCCCAGAGTTTAGGCTGATAGGTACTTGTCCTTGGACAAATGCTGCCCTTCCTGCCCCTCCTTGTCTCCTTCAGGAAAGCGGGCAGGTCAGGGAGAGCAGGGACAGAGCATTTGGTAAAGTGAGGCACAAAGAACTCTTACCATTTCTGTGGGAAGAGCCCACAAGCCACTGGTACCATGAAGATGAGGCTGAAAGAAAGGAGGAACAAAGCGTGAGGGGCATCTCCCCACAGGCCTGCTCACACCCGCCTCCGAGCCCCCCAAAGGAAGTAGGGAGATGCCCATTCACTATCTTGCCTTCCCCGCTGCCCCATGGCTCCCCTCCCTGCAACTCCCCGCCTGGTCTCTCAGTACAGGATATTCATTCTGGCATGGCATGAAATCGGCCCCCCTCCACCTCCCGTCCCTCACCCCCATCCCTGTCCTTCAAGTAGGTGAAGGTAACAAAGGCACTGGGTGTGCAAGTAGCAGCCTAAAGAGCACAAGCACCAAGCAGTAAGGGGTATGAAAGCCCCAAGGTCCAGCCCCCGCGGACCCTGGGCTGGGAGACAACAGAACAGGGCAGCTTCTCCAACCTCACTGCAAACACTAGCAGCTCAATGAGCTCGTTAAAAAGCGACGCTGAGGCAGGAGGCTTGGGGAAGGGCTTGAGAGCATTTCTAAGGTCCTCAGATGCTTCGGGGCCAGGGCCCTCTCTTACAGCACATGGGAATGTGACAGACCAGGCTTCGGATCCCAGCTCGGCTACTCACTCGCTGTGTGATCGCGGGCGAGTGAGCCCTGAGCCAGCAGAGGGACAAGAGTGCTTAGCGTGCAGGGCTGCCGCGAGGCTCAGAGGAAGTGGCCCGGGGATGGCGCTCAGCCCGGGGGAACCTCTCACGCAGTGGTGACTCAGTTGGCAGAAGGCAGCGTGGCGGGTGAGACTGCGAGGGCACTGACCTCAACTCCAGCAATTACGAGCTACAGAGCCTTGGGCAAGTCTCCTCATCGCACTAAGCCTCGGGTTCCTTGTGCACAGAAGGAGATTATGACAGGACCTAGACCTCCAGGGCTGAGGGGCTTAAGTGAAATGATAGATGGGCAGCATGAGCACAGTGGGGACACACAGGACACACTCCACACGTGTTGGTGGTTACTGCTGTCATTAGCCCCGTGGCCTCGCGAAGTGTGACTGATGCTAGGACGTGGCCAGTCGGTGGCGGGCACCAGAGCACGCTGCCGTGACTTGTGGTGTTTTCCTTTTGGGCAAGGGTGGGACGCTTGACAGCCCCAGGCTGTCCCCTCATGTTTTTTACGTCTCAGCATGTTTATATACTTAGTTTATTTATACTGAGATACAGAGGATGCACAGCATCGTGTACAGGTTAGGTGTATAGCCTGCGGATCTGATAGAGTGATACACTGCAATGGGACTACCGGGCCATCAGCTAACACCTCTGTCACTGTCACAGAATTATCATTTCTTTCTTCATTGTTACTGTTTTTTTTTAATTCTTTATTTTTAAGTAATCTCTACACCCAACATGGGGCTCGAACTCACAACCCTGAGATCAAGAGTCGCCTGCCCTACCTACTGAGCCAGCCGGGAGCCCCTAGAATGATTATGTCTTTTTTGTGGTGGGGCTGTATAGTGGTTTTTGTCTCTTCTCTAGTCTGAAGGTCAGAGGACACGCCGGGACAGGAGGGCACCCAAGCACTCCGCTCTCCATGCGGATGTGTGCACAGTGCCTACCCAGCCTGATGCCCTCAACAAAGATGGGGTGAGAACTCTCCAGATGGCCCAGGGTCGTTCTGAGCTCAGGCACTATGGAAGTCAGGGAAAAGAGTTCATGTTCTCCAACACGGGCAACACAAGAAGACGGGTCTTAGGGGCCCCAGCTACCACAGAACCCAACCAAGAAAACACGTTACTCACAAGCAGCCACACAGCAGAACTTGCAATGGGGCATGCAGGACCTTGACTTTCTGCACAAAATCGAAGGAAAGACCCACATGAGACTTAGAGATCTTAACGCGAATCCCACGCCGGCCCTACCCCTGATCGGCCAGTTAGACACCCACAGGCACAAAACTTTGAGCCGTGAAGGAGAGGAGGAGGGGGCCCCTCTTGCTCTCTGCAGACGAGGCCAAGCAAGCGGCCATGGCATCTAAAGCGGGCAGCCAGGGGGAACTGGCACGGGCCCTACTTGAGCGAGACAAAGGCCAGTAGCTAGAGGGAAGGATGAGGATCAGGAGCTCTGAAGTGTAGGTATGGCTGGGGGGCTCTGGGCAAGGAAGATGCAAAAGAGGACCTCACTCACCTTCATGAAATGCAGCTTCTCCAGCCTTTCCATGATGACTGGCAGCAAGACTGGAAGAGACCAGGGAGAAGCAGGGAGGAGGGCTGTCAGACTCTTCCGAAGACCACTCTCCAAAATCAGATCAGGGACCCACCTCCCCTGAAGTTCCAGAAAAAACTTTTGGAATGGAAGACTATGTAGGCATGGCCACCCCCCACCTGTCCCCCAAGTCCTAGCAGAAGGGTGCTTCCCAGACTTTTCCACCTGCACACCTATAATAGGACATGTACCACAGGCGCAAAGCATCCTTCTCAAAATCCAAATCTTTGAAGGCTCATGCAAACAAGTCTCGTATCCTACTCTGTAACATACCCCTGCTAGGAGCAAAACCAGGGCAGGGGATTTATTTTCTTTACCACTGTCTTCCTGGCACCCTGCACCATGTCCAGCACACTGAAGGTACTTAAGGAATATTTGTGGAATGCAAAGAACTTAATTAACTGATGTTCCCAGAACTACAGTGTGGTTCTCTCATGTGTTTCTGCGTTTAGCACTATGTAGATATAAGATATACAACATGTGGGGTTGATACATTTATACATTGTAATCTGATTACCACTGTAGCATTAGCTACAATCTCTATCACATCACAGAATTATTATTTTTTTATTGTGGTGGGAAAAGCCAGTTTGAGAAGCTTGGCTGTAGAGGCTGCCCCCCCCCGCCCCCCGCAAAAGCTAAATGTGGCTGAGGCCTCCAGGACGTGTTCCAGGGTCCCCCAGGACAGGAGGGCTTCTCTATCTTACTCATGCCAGGGGCTGCCATGGTGATCCGAGAAATAACCACTTGGGTGATGCCTACGGCTGCAGCTCTCTGAGGGCAGAAAAGAGTAAGTTGTCAGGAATGACCTTATCCAGTATCCATGGGCTGCACCAGAGGGCGGGGTCAAGGGTCGGGGTCAAGTCTGAGCTGATAAAGGGGAAGGGATGGATCTACCAGGGGCTGTGTCCCCGCCCAACCCTCTCTCACCTAGCTAGACTTTTATGGCTTCAGGACCAGAAATGATGGAGAAAAGACATGAAAGCCTGTTCTGAACAAGAAATGTAGGGAAATCAAGGGGAATGAGAATGGAATCAGGGGGATCCTATAACAGAACCCGGGCCTGCTCTGACTACTAAGAACAGGGCAGGGTATAAGACAGAATTCCCTCCTCCCACCCCAAAGGGATGCCTCTGCTCACCCGGGAATGACCGATCTCATTGTGATTCCTGTCCTTCACGCAGATGCCCTGGATGAGTTCCCTAAACAGACAGGAGTTGCTGGACTTGGGAAAGGGGTACTGGAAGCCCGCCAACGATGGGACACACCAGGGGACCAAGGTCAGCGCACTCAAGCTCTAGGAAGCCAGCTCCTGCAGCCTGGCCCTTTGATCTTCCTTGTGCATTCCAGTGAGTGGTATCTCAGAAGTGATCTAGGGCCATGGCTAAGAGAGCTAGGCCTGGGCTCAGACTGCCTAGGGTAAATCCTGAAATGGCAAAGTAAGTTTCTGAACTTGAGCAAATTCCCTGATCCTTCTAAAGACTCAGTTATCCTCATCTGCAAAATGAGGCTAATCATGGCACCCACTTCATAGGATTGGTGAGGATTAAAGGGGACAATGCCTGCAAAGTGTTTGGTCCACGCCTGACAGCACTCAACCCCAGACCAGGTAGGTGGCTAGGTCTCCTTCATTTGTCGGGTAGGAGCACCTGGATGGGGGACGGAAAGAGGAGAGGAACAATGTGTATGCATGACTATTCTGGTGGTGTGCTCTTTCTGCAAGGGCTGTTGTGACAAGTTCCCATTTGCTAGCAGTCCCAAGAAGTTGTGGCTTGGATATCTGGTGACGGTGATGAAGGCGATGAGGATGACAGGAGCAGTAAGAGTGAACACTTAGGCAGCACGTGATACCTCCCAGGCGCTATCGGGAGAGCGTGAGATATGCTACATCATTAGGTTTGACAACAGGGGAACAGCTATGCTTTCTCTAGCCAAAAAACAGGAATTGCAAGACACATGGGTTTCTCCTTTTACCTTTCCTGCTGCGAAGCTTAGAGCCGGGTGCCTGGAAAACATCTATCTACTCCTCTGGCTTCTTTCAAAGCTTCTTGGCTCTGTTCTATCTTTGGACACCTTGCTCTGCTACATTTCATTCTGTAAGCCATCCCCAGGGCTTTGGAAGTAGGCAGAGTTCACAACTTAAATACAGTTGCAGTTGAAAGGACATGATCTCATATAAACCTTCAAAGGTCCACCCTACTCCCCGCCATCCCGCACCATCCAAACAATGCCTCCCACAACACTCATCACAGATTAAACGTAAGTCACCTGCCACTCCTGCGGCCAGCACCCTCGGAGCAGCCTATCCTTTGGGACCCTTCAGAGCTGTAGCCCAGCAGCCCTCCCCGCACCCACCTCAGTCCCTAGAAGCCACCCACTCACTGTCTTGGTTTCCTGCGCTTGACCCACTAACCTTGTCTATAGGGGGGAAAAGGGAGCCCCATACTCACTGCTGTCGCATCATTGGGATGTTGACACAGTTAGCAGCCGCCACAGCGGCAAAGGGCACCCAGCGGCCCACCAGGGGTGGAGCTCTCTGTTGGGGGAAGGGAACAATAGGGCTCACTGGAAGATGGGAGGGGAGGGGGCTTAAGGACTACAAAATAAGAAATCAGATCTCGCTACTGCCACGTATCCAGACACTTGGTCTAAGAACCCAAATTCCCTCAAAGACCCGAGAAAGACGAACGTGGGGATAGGTCTGCTCCATTTCCCCCTCGTGGTCTGGGCCCTGGCCATACCCAACTCACCCAAACAAGGGCAACGCCAGGCCCAGGGGATGTTTTCCCTAGGACTTTGCTGCCCCCTAGTGGCCACCACACCCACAGCAGCCCCAGACAGTACCTTCGTCAACATGTTCATGCCCACAGCAGTGGCCACCGCAGTGGTTGTGGCTGTGATGTAGGAAAGGGCCATCTGCCTAGTGGAGGAGAGACACGCTTGGGAGTGAGGAGCCCTGCCAGCTGAGGGCAAGACCCTGGCTTGATTGAGAAAGTCTGGAAATGAGGCTTTAATGAGGCTTCATGCCTGAAACTTCACCTGTCTCATCTTGTGACATTCCCCCTCCTAAACACACACACAATGCTCCAGCCCCCTCGACCTCCTTTCAGTACTTTAAACACACCAAACTCTTTTCTGCATCAGAACCTTGGCCTGTTGCTGCTCCCTATCTGGGGAATTCTTCCGTAGGCGAAATCCTTACCCTTCAGAAACCAGCCGAAAGGTGGGCTCCACAGAAAAAGACTTCCCCAACCAGCCCATCCACACAGATGCCCCTCTGCTGTTTGCTCTCTTGTCACCTGTTTGTTTCCTTAAGGGTAGCAGTCGCAACCTAAGATTACGGTGCTTGTTTGCTTAAAATACCTTAAATTCCACAAGGACAAGGACCCTAGAACCATGCCTGACTCTTAATACCTACTCAGGAAACAGCTGAGGGGCGCCTGGGTGGCTCAGTCAGTTAAGCGTCTGCCTTCGGTTCAGGTCATGATCTCGGGGTCCTGGGATTGAGCCCCGCATCAGGGTCTCTGCTCAGCAGGGAACCTGCTTCTCCCTCTGCCTCTGCTCCCCGCCACCCTGCTTATGCACGTTCAATCGCTCTCAAATAAATAAATAAATAAATAAAATCTTAAAAAAAAAAAAGAAGAAATACTTGAGAACGAATGAATGAATAAACTTTCAATTGGTCTAGGACGATATTGTCCTAGTCAGCCTCAGAAAATACTTGCAAACCCTAAAAAGGGGGACTTGGTCACCAGCGCCATACAAGTCTCACCCGGAGAAGACAGCCCAAGAACGCTTTAGAAGGGCGATTCCCCTGGAGGCAAGAGGACAGCCACCTGCTTCAGAGCCACATGGACAGCCTGGGGTTCAAGTCTCCTACCTGACAGACGTGGGGGAAGCTGCATTCCTATTCGTATAGTTGACTAAGGCGTTGAAGGACTGGTTCACCCACTGCCAGAAGATCACCGCTGGCATCGTCCTACCATAAGGGAGGCCCAGAGAGGCAGAGAAGAGTCCAATGGAGGGAGGGCTTGGGCACACCAGTCAAACCAGACGGCCTGATGTTCCCCAAACTGTTCCCATGCTGTTTCATGCACCAGGGATTTTGCACAGGCCGGTCACTCTGCCTGGAATATCTACACACCCACACCCTCCATACATGGCTAAATCCTGCTCTGTTGAGAGGTCACTTCTTCTTTGGAACCTTCCTAACCCTTCCCCTGACCTTCCTGGAACTGTGAGTCATTCTCTGCTCCCTGCTCTCACAACCCCATACTTTCCCTCCGACCTACCACTTAGCAAGCTGGACTACAACCGCTTATTGGTTAGTCTGCTCAACAAAACTGGAAGTTCCTTGAGGGGAGGGGCTTAGTCTTTATATTCCCAACACCTGGCCCAAGGCCTGGCTCAATAACTGGACGAATGGATGCATGGGGGAGGGGAGCAGAGGGAAGAGAGGAAGGAGGAAGAGTAAAATATCCAGCAGCTACAGAGAAAGTTTATTCTCTCCCTGCTAGGCTGAAAGGGTCTTTCTATTTTAGGGGTAGCTAGGGGGTGGGGTGGGGTGGGAGGTCACCTTCCTATATTTTTTACTAGGACGTTACATAATAAAAACACATTAGGGGCACCTGACCGGCTCAGTCGGTTAAGTGTCTGACTCTTGATTTTGGCTCAGCTCAGGATCTCAGGGTCGTGAGATCGAGCCCCCAGATTGGGCTCTGCGCTGGGTGTGGAGCCTGCTTCGAATTTTCTCTCTCCTCCCTCTGCCCCTCCCCGCTGCTACACCCCCTCCCCCCGCTCACGTACTCTCTCTCTGCCAAAAATAAATAAATAAAATAGATTTAAAAATAAAAATACACAAAAATTTCATTGTTGAATAAGTGCTTTCTAAAGAAGGAATTAGGATGGCTTCTTCATTGAGAGTTCTGGAGACAGCTGCCTCAGTTAACATCCAGGCACCCGTATTTCCTGGCTGTGTGAACCTAGGCAGGTTACGTAACATCTCTAGAACACTCAGTTCTTCACCTATAAAATGGAGATGACAATAGTACCTCTGTAGGGTTGATGAGGAGATTAAATCCATGCAAAGAATTTAGCACAGTGCCTGGTATTGGGTAAGGGGTCAGTAAAGATGGCTATTACCACATCACCATAGGGCTCCGTGCCTGGCAGACCTAAGCGGCCACACTGCCCGCTGCCTTCCCCCAAGCTCTACCTGTAGAACTGGAGCATGAAGCCCGTGATGATCATGCCGCCGGGGACCTGGAAGGACATCCGCCCAATGATGTTCATCTTCTCCCCGGTGTCAGGGTGGAAGGCTGAGTCATACAGCTTCTTGGCGTACAGCAGCTGCTTCACTTGGGTGCCCGGGGGCACAACCCCCATTCTGCCACCCCAGGACAACAGAGAGAGTTACGTCCCAGGCCCCTCGCTCCAAGTTATCCTGCTTCTTCCTGCCCATTCCCCACATTCAGTTCCCACCTCCTCCCCAGGGGACCCACCCGTGTGGCCCCACTGCCTCCAGTCCCTTCCCCTCACTGCTCACCTGCTCTTCTCCACCATCACCTTGGCCCAGTCCAGCTCCCGCTCTGGGACCAGGACGGTGCGCGGGTCTGTGATATTGAAGAAGTGTTTCACCCGCCCCAGGAAGGTGCACTGGTCCCAACGGGGGGCATCGATGTTAAAGCCAGACAGATCAGCCTCCATCTTGCTCCCACACAGAGCTGTGGACTTAAGGAACGGAGGGAAAATGAGGATGGTTCCCCAAACCAAAGTCTGCCCTGAGGCCCTGAGCACCCCTCGTGGTTGTAGGATGCTTGCTTTCAGCAGGCGCTAGCATCATCTGACCAGGCTTAGGAAGGCTCCAGGGAATGGGCAGCGGACTGAGCAGCCAAACACCACCATGGGCTTCCCAAGTGACTGCTGGCAGCCAGCCCTGTGCTTGATCATGCTGTGGGAGACCCGGAAAAAGGGACAACACAGTGCCTGTCCTTGGGGAGCTGAGTGTAACTGGGGAAGAAGAGCCCACCCGTGGAACAGAAGAGAATAGATACAGCAACAGTAAGTACAGGAGTTGAGAGAAAGCAGAGATGGGGAGCACAGTAAGAAAAGGGGGCTTCCCAGAAGAGATGGAATGTGAGCCGTAGAAGATAGATTTATCTGAAGGAGGCAGAAGGCATGGATCACATCTGAGGTAGAAACAATTACAGAGAAAGGTGGAAATGAACAAGGCACGATCACACTCATCATTTCGGTGTGTGTGTGTGTGTGTGTGCACGTGAATGTGCACACATGCGTGTGCATGTTCACGGTGCATGCGGCCCTGTGAGAGATCCCAGGCCATGGCTGTGAGTGAGGCACCATGCCTGCCCTCAAGGAGTTACAGAATGGGGGGTAAAAGACAAGTACAGCAACAAGGACAGCGGTGTGAACAATGATGTGGACATACACTGGAGGCAGTGGAAAACCAGAGAAGAGGCATCTAAAAGTGAGATGACCAGATCTCCCAGTTTTCCTGGGACTGCTGTCCTGGGGTAATTATTAATAGCACCCCCTTCCACTCTCAAAAGTGTCCTGATTTGGATGATAAATTATACAGTCCCCTTATCTAAAATGGATGAGGGATTCTGAACATGCTTTGTGAAAACAAAAAATAAACAATGTTTTGAAGGGTGGGTAGAAGTTAGATAGATAGAGGAGAGGTGTCCCAGGCCAAAAAAAAGAAGAGCCAGCATTGACCGCACACAGGGTGCATGGTAATGATAATGATGATCATAGCTAACACTTACTGAGCTTTGGTTCTATGCTATACATTTTGCTTGGGGCTGGACGTGCATTTTCTGAATTCATCTTTGCATCAATGCTATAAAATAAATACCCTTTAACCCCATTTTATGGATGAGAAAACCAAGGCACAGATAAATAACTTTACCAAGTCACAGAAGCATTAGCCAGTGACAAAGCCAGGATTTTAATTCTGCCTGACTTGAGAACTCTTGCCTCTAACTGGGTTCTGGAATCCATGTCTTGAAAAACTAAGGCAGGCCGGACATGTAAGGAGCTTGAAAACTGTCACTTCTATCCTTACAACAAGAAAAAAAGCTGAACAAATTAAAATCAACAACTCTTCTTAGACCCATCAGTGAACTGAGGTCACAGGCAAACCACAGCCCCCAAGCCTGGAGAGACAGACAAGTACAGCGAATGACAGCTTACTGGGAAAAGAAGCTCTCCACTAGGCAAGTACCATTGGAAAACTTAAACTATAATTGACAAATTGCTGGAAGCTCAGTGTGAACAAGCTTGCAAATTAAATATTCCAAGTGGATTCAACCTTGAGTGTGGGGGCGCACTTTTGAGTTCACCTTCAAGAGGCCACCAGGCTCTCAGGGTGAAGATGAGAGAAAAATCCCCTAGTACTTTTTTTTTTTTTTTTTTAAGATTTTATTTATTTGCGCGAGACAGAGAATGAGAGACAGAGAGCATGAGAGGGAGGAGGGTCAGAAGGAGAAACAGACTCCCTCCTGAGCAGGGAGCCTGATGCAGGACTCGATCCCGGGACTCCAGGATCATGACCTGAGCCGAAGGCGTCGCTTAACCCACTGAGCCACCCAGGCGCCCTCCCCTAGTACTTCTAACAGGGAGATGGGAAAAGTAGTCATTTTGAAGTACACCCAGAGCCCTCTGTTCTTCCTAACAAGACCCACCCTCAAAAGAGCCTGTTTTACCACAGCCTAACCATTTTGGGTTTTACTAGAACCTAAATGACTTGGGGAAAGGTAAATACCCAACTCCAGCCCTTTCCAACCTTCCTATCTCATTTGAAGTGGATGAGAAGAGCCTGAGAAGCACTTTTGAAGGTCCAGGGGCACAGGCTCACTCAGAGACTGAGAACTAATCACAGGACTATAGAACACTCTCTCCTCCCTCACACTTGACCACTGCAGGTGGTACATTGCTCCTATGTGGTAACAGGGAGAACTGAACAACAACAGAAAGAATTGCATGTTTCAGACCTTATTAAGAAGTCTCTAGAAACCCAAAGACAACAGGAGAGCCAAAAACAAGGACACCAAAGAAAATGTTAACTCTGACACCTACAGCTTCAGCAAACAGTAAATACAACATAACACCTCCCCAGATAAAGGTAAAACTGTACACACATCTGGCTTTCAACAAAAGATTACAAGGCATACTAAATGGCAAAAACATAGTTTGAAGAGAGCGCAAGTGTCAGAACCAGATGGCAGAGATTTTGGAATTATCAGAACAGGAATTTAAATAACTATGATCGATATGCTAAGGACTCCAATGGGAAAGTGGACAACATGCAAGAACAGATGGATAATGTAGCAGAGAGACAGAATCTCTAAGAAAGAATCAAAAGGAAATGCTGGAAATTAAAAAAAAAAAAATTCTAGGGGCGCCTGGGTGGCTCTGTCAGTTAAGCATCTGACTTTGGCTCAGGTCATGATCTCAGGGTCCTGGGATCGAGCTTCATGTTGGGCTCTGTGCTTGGCGGGGAGTCTGCTTGTGCCTCTCCCTCTGCCCCTCCCCCTGCTTGTGCTCATTCTCTCTCTCTCTCTCAAATAAAAAATAGATAAGGTCTTAAAAACAATTTCTGTAACAGAAATGAAGAATGCCTTTGATGGTTTCATCAGTAGACTGGACATGGCCAAAGAAAAAATTCCATGAGCTTAAATATGTGTCGACAGAAAATTCCCAGACTGAAAAGTAAAGAAAAAGAATGAAAAAAACAGAATAGAAAACCCAAGAACCGTGGGGCAATTACATTAGGTGTAACATGCACATAATGGGAATGCCAGAAGAAGAAGAAGGAAGGGAACAGAAGAAATATTTAAAGCGATAATGACTGAGAATTTTCTAGAACTAATGACAAGGGGTGCCTGGGTGGCTCAGTCATTAAGCGTCTGCCTTCGGCTCAGGTCATGATCCCTGGGTCCTGGGATTAAGCCCCACATCGGGCTCCCTGCTCCGTGGGAAGCCTGCATCTCCCTCTCACACTCCCTCTGCTTGTTTCCCTCTCTCACTGTGTCTCTCTATGTCAAATAAATAAATAAAATCTTAAAAATAAATTAAAAAATAGAAAATAAAAAAATAAAACTAATGACAGACACCAAACCCAAAGTCCAGAAGGCTCAGAGAACACCAAGAAGGATAACTACCAAAAAATCTATACCTAGATGGGAATGCAAACTGGTTCAGCCACTGTGGAAAACAGTATGGAGGTTTCTCAAAAAATTAAAAACAGAATTACCATATGATCCAGTAATTCCACTACTGGGTACTTACCCAAAGAATATGAAAACACTAACTCAAGAAGATATATGCACCCCTATGTTTACTTCAGCATTATTTACAATAGCCAAAATATGGAAGCAGCACAAGTATCCATGGATAGATGAATGGATAAAAAAGATGTGGCATATACGTTCAATGAAATCTTGCCATTTGCAACAACATAGGTAGATCTAGAGAGTATAATGCTAAGTGAACCAAGTCAGTCAGAGAAAGACAAATACCATATGAGTCCACCCATATGTGGAATTTAAAAAACAAAACAAACGAACAAAGAAAAAAAGATAAACAAAAAACCAGACTTGGGGCGCCTGGGTGGCTCAGTCATTTAAGCATCTGCCTTCGGCTCAGGTCATGATCCCAGGGTCTTGGAATCAAGCTCCGCATCTGGCTCTCTGCTCAGCAGTGAGTCTGCTTCTCCCTCTCCCTCTGCCCCTCCTCCTGCTTGTGCACCCACTCTCTCTCTCTCTCAAATAAATAAATAAAATCTTAAAAAAAAAAAAAAACAGACTCAATTAAAGAGAACAAACTGATGGTTACCAGAGGGGAGGTGGGCAGGGGGATGGGTGAAACAGGTAAAGGGGATTAATAGTACACTTACCATGATGAGCACTGAGAAATGTATAGAAGTGTTGAATCACTATATTTTACACCTGAAACTAATATAACACCATATGCTAACTATACTGGAATTAAATTTTTTAATCTACATCTAATCATATTATATTATATTTCAAACTGCAGAAAATAAAGACAAAGAAAATCAAGTAAAGGGGCACCTAGATGGCTCAGTCGGTTAAGTGTCCGACTCTTGGTTTCAGCTCAGGTAATGATCTCAGGGTTGTGAGATCAAGCCCCATGTCCAGCTCCACGCTCAGCAGGGAGTATGCTTGAGATTCTCGCTCTCCCTCTCTGCTCCCTCTCCTGCCCCTGTGCATGCACACACACTCTCTCTCAAATAAATAAATCTTTAAAAACATAATAAAAAAATAAAATCTTTAAAAAAAAAAGCTAAGGGTTTTGAATTTTTGTCTGAGAATTTCAGGAAGCCATTAAAAGATTTTAGGCAGAGTGACAAGATCAGATGTGTCGTTTAGAAAGAAAACTCTAGGCAATGACATGAAAATAAACTCGGTGTGGTAGGACCTCAGAGGATACAGAGAGATCAGCTGGACAGGAATTTCAGTAATCCAGGCAAGAAGAGATGGGGCTCATGTGAACCCAGATGCACAGGAACAGAGAGGAGGGACCAAAAGACAGAAACTTTTAAAGCAGCAGAATCTTGGGATTTACGTAGTGATTGGTTATAGGAAGAATACTCTATTAGTCAGGGTTCAAGCACAGATGCAGAATCAATAGGATATATATATCCTTTATATATATTCGCATAATATTGACAAATATATAAAAAT